CCCAGAGCCCTCTGGGGTCGATTAAAGGTGGAGAGACAACTGGGGTCTCTGTGTGTGTGTGTGTGTGGTTGGGTCCCAGAGTGGGGTCTCCCTCCCGACGTTCTTGACGTTCCTGGATTCCCGTTCCATCTGTCCCCTCTGGTCTCCATTCATTTCCTCTCACAAACGCCTACTGAGCACTTATGTTCCAAGGACTCCCCGTGAACACTAGTTAGATTTATTTATTGAGCATCTTGTGAGCTGTTCTAAGTGCCTTCTATTGATTAACTCATTTAATCACCATAACAAAGCTCTGAGATACAGGGACTCTGATAACACTCTATTTTTTTTTCCTGCTTATTTATTTTGAGAGAGAGAGAGAGAGTGCGGGCGCGCGCATGGGGAAGGGGGAGAGAGACTCCCAAGCAGGCTCCGAGATGTCAGTGCAGAGCCCCACTTGGGACTCGAGCTCAGAACTATGAGATCCTGACCTGAGCTGAAACTTAAGAGTTGGAAGCTTAACCAGGGTGCCCCTGATAACATTCACTTTAAAGATGAGGAAACCAAAGCCCAGAGAGGCTAAGGGACTAGTTCCTGCCCACCAGGAACCTACTTCCTGGGGAGGAGACAAATATGGGAAGTCACACTAAGACAGGAAAGTAGCACCGAGTGAGAGATGATTTGGGGAGGGAGGAAGGGCTTCTCGGAGGAGGTAGCATTTGGGACGTGAAGAAAGTCAAGAGCGCAGTCTGGGGGAGCCCCGGGGGAGAGTGTTCTTGGTAGGAAGACCTAGGCACAGCCTGGTCTTGAGGATGAATTTGGAGTGAGCCAGCGACACTGGGAGGAAAGGCCAATGTGGTTGGAAGGGAGGGATAAGGGGAAGGGTGTTGGGAGCTGAGTCAGGTCATTAACACTCACAGGCCAGAGAGTAATGATATTCCCCGTGCCAGGTATGGTGTATGAGCTCCCTGCGTTCTCCCCACAGCCCAGCAGAGCAGGGGTTGGCACACTGCTGCCTGCAGGCCAGTTCTGACCCACTTGCCTGTGTCTGTAAATAAAGTTTTATTGGAGCATCACCTAAGGCTGTTTCAGTGCTCAGTAAAACCGTATGCAAAGTCACAGTTACTCTCTAGCCCTTCAAAGAAAAAGTTTGCCAGCTCCTGCTCTAGAGACCCTTTGCTCCCCACTTTACAGACAGGAATGCCAGGGCAGGGGCACAGAGAGGTTCAGTTACTTGTTAAGGTCACACAGCTAGCATGTGGCACAGCTGGCATTCGAATCCAAACAGCTGGAGTCGAGGATCCAGGCACATAACCTCTGCACTGGTACTGCTTTCCAGGCCACATCAGGCCTCCAGGGGCCTGGGGGAAATTGCACTCAGGGCTCCCAACGGAGGAAGAGTGTGATTTGACTTAGGTGCTCGGAGGGTCCCTCTGGCTGATGGTTGAGTAGACTGAATGTGGGCAAGGGGGGCTGCAGGGAGACCATTCGTGCAAGTGAGAAATGACAGTGCCCTGGGTCAGGGCGGCCCTCCATCTGCTGTGGTCTTGCCTGTGAATTCTCTCCTGCTTCCTCTTCTCAGCCTCTCAGTGGCCCCTCTTCCTCCCAGGTTTCAGTTCCCTCCCCCCACCCCCCACTCTGTCCTGACCTTCCCAGGGCCACCGGACCTGGACCTGCTCCTTGGCCCAGTGATTGCCTAGGTGGGGTTCACTCTGTAAGGACATACTGCCATTTTCACCAGCCTCGTGTGTGGAGACACTTGCAAGGACACAGTGACGCAGACTGTGGTCACCGCAGCCCCACGAAAACGCGGCACAGCTACACACACACGTTCGCGCTCACCACAGAGGTTCAAATCTGGACCGGGTCCCTCGGTCTCGCAAACACATTCCCCTTCCGCAGCCACCGTGGAGACACAAAATCTCCTGACACCTGGTGGCAGCGACAGCCCCTGCACGCGGCCCCATTCCAGATGCAGAACCCAGCCTTGGAGCTGCACTGGGACACAGCAAAAAGCAGTCGCGCAAATACATTCTGAAGGGTCACAGGTCACGACCGCCAGCCACACACCAGATACAGACTCAGAGATGGTGCCCCGCACAGACACACACCTCACAGCATCAGAGCCCCCTCAGGAAATGAAACGGAGGCTCCTGCTGGGACCCACCAACAGTTAACACAAACATCCTCCCCGGGGTCACTCGCAAACAGGCACAGTGCATGCGCACACAACCTGACACATCACAGTCCCACCCAGACACACACGCCACACATGGAGACACACGTCACGATCACCCGGAGGAGGCCGGTCCTGCCCACTCTGTCTGACATCTCCCAGGCCCCCACACGCTCAGGCCCGGGGAGTCCCACCAGGCCCCGCAGACAGCAGCTGGCCCCGTCAGACCCAGACACGCTGTCACACCCCGGGGCCCAGACGGAGCAAGTCCCACACACCCAGACACACCCCCCCCAGGGTCGCGGCCCTCGCAAGCCCAGCCCGTGCCCGGGCCGAGGGCAAGTCCTGGCCTCACACCGGGGCCGCACACTCCCGCGGTCGCCCGAGCCCTCGCCACGCCCTCGTGACACACCCCGCCCACCTGCCCGCCGGGCTGAGCTGGCGCGGAGGCCGCCCAGGAAGGGAAACTTGCGGGCTCAGCACCTTCCTGGACTGCCTGCGGGCGGCCCCTGTCCGGCAGGAGAGGGGGGCAGAGCCCGTGGGGGACAAGGTAGTCCCCGCCCCCCGCCAAGCGCAGGGGCAGCACCGGGCGTTCGGGGCGCCCCTTCCCCCTCCCCCACTCCTGCGGGCAGCCCGGGAGGGGAGGGAAGTCGTGGGGGGAGCCTGGGTTCCGGCTGGAGCCCCAGCTTCCCGTCCGGCCCCCACGGGGCAGGAAGCAGGACCGGGGAGGCCAGCTCAGGCCTTCCTGCCCCCTCCCCCAGACAGGCCTGGGGGCTGGGTCAGCCGGAGGGAGCGGGGAGGGGAGAGGAGGGGGAAGACGAAAGAGAAAGCCCCTTCTCCCTGAGCGATGGTGTCTTTGGGGTGTTTCTAATGTAAATTTGAACGTGTTCACACCCCCTTTGTGTGGTTGTGTGTGTGTGTGTGTGTGTGTGTGTGTGCGCGCGCGCGCGCGCGCGCACGCTTTGTGCTGTGAATTTTGTCCAGCCTGGGGGTTTCTGACGCCCCAGCGGGTGCCCTCCGGCTGTGTTGGGTGTGCACAGGTACTACCAAAGCCTGTGTCCCAGCACGCGTCCCTTCGGTTTGTCTACCTGTCCTGCATTTCCAGTGTGTGCGTCCCAGTTTGGGGTTCCTGTTTACAAGCCAGTGCCCCCTCTGGGTTCTGTGGCGGGACACTGTGTCTCAGCAAGTCTGTGTGCAGGAGAGGGTCGTGTCCCCAGGGCCTGCTGTGGGTCTGAATTCTTTCTCCACATCTTTGCCGTTGTTCGCTGGGTGTAGATTTGTGCATTCTTCAGTAAGTTTGACTTAAAATATGGATGTTCTCCGTGTCTGTCTGTGTGTCTGGGAGAGACGTGTGTTTCCGGGAGGGGTTGTGCTTTGTGTTTGCTCTTGGAGCTGTGTTTCTGGTGCATGTGTTGTGTGTCCGTGGGTGAGTTGTTTCTGGGTTATGCTTGTGATTGGTGTGTGCGTGGCTGGCATCAGAGAGCATGCTGTGGGGTGTGTCCCCAGTATGCTTGCTGTTGTACTCCCCGTGTGTTTGTGCGAATGTGTGTCCATGCAGAGACTGGTGTCCTCAGCTCTGAGAACAGGTGGTGTTTGCGTTTTGTCTCCCGTCCGTGGGCTGGTGACTTCGGTGTGTGAGCTGTCGTGTGGGTCTCTATTTTGCATCAGGTTCGAGGCCTTGTGAGTCTTCAGTGGGCTGGTAGTGTCTCCTGCAGGTCTGCATTTTGTGCTGGTGTTTCCAGGGCAGGGGCGGGCACGGTGTGTCCCCAGGGAAGCCAACGGCATCCCGAGCGACACGCCCAGTGGCCTCTGCACTGAGTGGAGGCTGCGTCTGCGGTGTGTCCCCTTGCCGGCTGGTGCCACGCTGGCTCGGGCTGGCTGTGGCGGGCGGGCAGGGCAGGGGCTGTGGTGGGCACTGGACCCACGCCCGGACCTCGGTATAAATATCCCGGCTGCCGTCGGCTGTGTTTACTCGGCCCCAGCCCGGGGGCGGGGGTGGTGGCAGCCCGGCAGGTCCTGGGGGCGGGGGTGACCAGGCCACAGCGCAGACATTTCCTTCAGGCCAGACAGGCCACAGCCTTGCCTCCCCCTTTCTGGATGAGGGTGCAGCGGTGACCCTTCATCCTGGGCTCCCAGGGGCCACCAGTGACCCTCTGACCTGGACATCCCCACTGGGCTTCCCAGGGTCTGGGAGACAGAGAAGAGGGGCCAGCCGACAGGGGGTGAGGGGTCAGGCCAGGGACCACAGGGAGAGGGGGAAATGGGGCGGAGACTCCGGACGAATGGTCACACAGGCTAAGGGACCAGTGTGTAGGGATGAGCAGGAGGGAGGTGAGAGGGGTGGCAGTGGCCCTGGGCAGGGCTGGCGGGGGAAGAGTGTAGGGCTGACAAGCGAGGTGGGAGGTGATAGGAGATTCGGGCAGGCTGTCAGAGGCACAGAGGCAGAAGAGAAGGCAGAGGAGAGGAGAGAGAGAGGGAGAGGGGTGGCGGTGGGAGGGACAGGATGCGAGGGCAGGACACACAGAAGGGTCAGATGGGGGTGCGGGTGGCAGCCAGCACAGCCCGGCCAGGAGGACAGACAGGAGACGGGGTGGGGGCCGGATGCCCACGGAGGGGCTCTCCCCCAGCGGGTCCTCCCTCCCTGACTCAGCCTCTCCGCCTGCCTCGACCGAGGGCTGGGGGGCGGAGGGACAGTCACCTCTGGCTCCTCAGGGTCCAGTGGCAGCTGCGGGGGCCGTGCCGGGGGTGTGTCTCCCACAGTCCCTCCTGACTGGCCCCACCTCTGTCTCAGCGGCAGACGCTCCCGCCTCCACCATCTGACTAACCCTAATTCTGACTCAACTGCTGTGGTCTCTCATCACTCTTTATTATGTAACAAATCTATGTATGGCAAAGTATATCACAAACAGCATTAAGGATCAAATGACAGACTGATGAAAACTGCACACCTCACTCGGGGCTGCTCCCTGGCTTAGAGAAGTCCTCTGACTGTGGGCGCACACGCGCGCGTGCACACACACACACACACACACACACGTGTGTACCCGAGGGACAAACGTCTTCCATCCTCTGGCTTTCAGGCTCTCCAAGGGCGAGTCTGGCCGGCCAATCAGGGGTCTTCTCTGGGAGCCAGGGCATTGCTACTGGCAGGAAGTGAGGAGTAGGACTGCCGTGATGGTTCTGGTCCAGGTGCTGACTTACACACCATCGAGATGATTCCAAGCCCGTGTGCAGCATGGTGCCGAGCACGTGGGGAGGGCCCCAAAGCGTAAGCTGCTGGTATCACCCTCGACAGCTGTCTCTTCGTGACCTTTCTGAGCAAGTCCGTGCGTCTGTCTGCTCCCAGTGGCCCTGACAGCTAACACACAGGCTAGAATGGTCTCTAGGACTTGTGAAGTTCTAGACCTCGCTTTTCGTCAGTGGCCGTGAGGCCTCGAGCAAGTAACATTCCCCTTCTGGCCCCCTCCCCTCACTTATGAAATGGAGCGGAGTCCCTAGTTCATGGGGTTGTTTGGAGAATTCCATGGGGCATCAGGCCCATCCGGCCTGGAATAGGACAGAACTGCTCAGTGACCGGAAGTTTCCTCTTTTAATGGTCTCTCTGTGTGAATGTCCCTCGGCCTCTAGGCCAGCTCTCACTTTCTGTGTCTGGCTCTAGTTCTGGCTGACCCAGAGGGCAGAGCTGAGGCCCAGGGGTCAAGGGCTGTGGTCCCGGGAGGCCTTGGGGGTCTCCCCCTTTCTCCGGGCCATATGCCTGAGGTGGTTTCGAGTGTCTTCAGGCCTGGCTATGCAGGGTGTCACCATGCTGGCTCACAGGAGTGAAGGGTCCCCAGGCCCTATCTCTCTGACCTGTGTGGCCTGTACCCCCTGCCAACAGCTGACCCCTTCTGTGTGTGTGTGTCTGTGTCTACTGAGGGAGCATGAACCGGGTATGGGGGCATGGGAAGGCAGGACGCCTGGGTTCCCACAGGCCAAGTGGCTGAGTCACCAAGAGGCCATCTGGCTCCCATTAGCCCAGGGCGGCGGGGGGCTCTGTGGGGCGGGCCCTGTGGCCAGCTGGGGGCAGGGATGCTGGGGCAGGCTGTGTGTGTGGGATGACTCAGGACCCATGATAACAGCCTGTGCGTATTTGGGGAGTGTAAACAGGAGAGGGAGAAGGAGGTGGAGGAAGTGAAGGAAGGGAAAATTGTGGCCAGGCAGAGAGGGGCTGGCCGGTGGGGCTGAAGGAGAGAGCCCCCCTCCCCACCCTCCTCCCTCCACACCCAAGCTCTCAGGCCCATGGCCCCAGTGCTGCCCCACACCCCCCTCCCAAGCCTGGGTCCTGAAGGAGAGGTGGGAGCTGGTAGCCTCCCCGGTGAGGCTCCTTCCTCAGCAGCCAGGCTGGGGTTTGGGGGGAGATGACACTGAAAACAGAGAGAGGCTGAGAGGCAGAGGGCCGAGGCAGGCGGCATGGAGGCTGATAGATGGGGGTGTGTGGGCAGGAAGCACCAGAGGCCCAGGGTGAAGTTGAAGGAGGCAAGAGCCCACCAGTACAGAGCTGGACAAGCAGGCGGAGCCCGGGGGCTCACGACCCTGCGCTGCGCTCCGGCACTGACCTGGCCGGCTCCAGCTACAAAGAGCCCCGCTGGCCTCCATCGGGGGAGGATGTTCAGCCTGAGCCTGGTCGTGGGAACAGAGGCCAAGGCACACAGAGGGGAGAGACAGAAGGCCAGAGAGGAAAAAGACAGTGACGTGTAGAAAGAGGAGAGGGATGGAGAAAAAGCGAGTGAGAGAGACAGCGAGACAGACCTGGATCAGGGAAGGAGAGTGGGGGAAGGCAGGGAGCCCTGCACACAGAGGGGGCAGGGGCTGGGCCGGGACGGCACCAGAGCCAGCGAGGCCGGGGGTGTGGGGCGGCTGCCCTGCTGTCCCCTAGAGGAAGTCACGGGCAGGGTGGGCGGCGCGGCTGTCAGTCCCCATCCAGCTCTGGGCTGGGTGCCTCCTCGGGCTCCTCCGCGTCGAAGTACCTCTCCTCCTCATCCCGCGCCACGATGTCTAGGTTGTCAAAGTCGGGGTTGTCATCCACAGTGCTGCGGGGGGAGGGGCTGTCAGGGCCCAGCTCTGCCCCCTCCCACCCCAGCCTCCCTGCTTCTCACCCTCTGGAGGAGCCCGGGGGTGGGGGGGCCCTCCAAGGTCCCAGGCCATATGCGGCTATAAATCGGAGCTAACCCGGGGCGGGGGGGGGGGGGGGGCGGCGCATGGAGTCTCTCAGGGCTTCAAATGAAGGCATCGTCTTCCAAGCAGATTTTACATAAAAACTTCTGGTTTCTCTCAAAATGCTGGAAGATGTAGTGACAGGCCGACTCACATTCCCTGGAGTGGTTCTCAACTAGGAAGCTTCTGCCCCTCAGGTGACATTTGGGGATAAGTGCAGACGTTTTGGTTGTCACACCTAGGGGGGCTCTCACTGGTGCCCAGGGACCGGACACCAGGGATGCTACTTGACACCCTGCTGCTCACAGGACAATGAGCACAAAGAATCATCTGGCCCGAGAAAGGTCAACAGTGCTGAGAAATGTCTGCCCTGGGCGCATGTGATCCTAAATTGTGAAGAGGACCCCTGGCTGTGCTCCAAGCTCTCCCGTGACCCCCACCATACTCCCTTGGGTGCAGGAAGCCTTGTCTGATCCGGCCCGCCACCTCTGAGGAGACCCGCCTGCTCCTCGCCCCTCGCGATCTGCTCTAGCCACCCCTGTCCCCTTGCTGTTCCTCCGATCCGCCTCAGGGTCCTTGCACCTGCTATCTCCCCTGCCAGGAACACTCTGACCCCAGGTATTTATGTCGCTTACCCCTCACATCCTGCAAGTCTTTGCCGAAATGTCATCTGCTCAGAGAGCCTATGCTGGCCCCCTCATCACTACCTCCCACACCTCTGCCCCTCGACCCTGCTTTAATTTTCTTCATGGCCCTGGCAGCACCAGATGCTAAATACTTCTTTTGCTTCCTCACTAAACTGGGTCCCCTTTCAGGCACGGAACCCTTTTGTCAGCTTTGCTTGCTGCTTTATCCCCACAGTCTGGACACAGCAGGTGCTTAGCCCCACAGTGGTGGGGACCCACTGGCCCTGCTGCCCAGCAGCTGCCCTCCAGGGTGGAACAGGCGCCGGTCCCTGCTCGTCTCTATTCCTCAGGCCAGGCCCCATTTCCTCATGGGCACCCGGCTTTCTGAGGGCTCCCCGCGGCCTAGGCACTCGCACCCCGCTCTGTGTTGGAACTCGGGCCGGGAGGCTCCACCCCAGCTCATCAGCCAGGCTTGCCTCTGGAGGTGGGGGGGGGTTCCCTAGATCAGGCCATCGTGCACCCCACAGCTGGTGAGGGTTGGTTTGCCGGGGCTGGGTCTGAAGCCGGGCATCGGCTGTCACACCCACAAGGCAAGACTGCTTCAGCTGTCAGAGCCTTTTATCTTTGACTCTGACCCTTCACTCTTCTGTGTCCTTTTCCCTGATGGCAAAATCCTTTCCAAAGCAGTGGCTGTGTGTCTCGCCCAGGGTTACAGTGTGGACATCAACAAGCAGCACGGCAGCAGAGGCCACTGCAGGTCTCTCCCTGCCAGGGGTGATTTCCTGTAGCACCAGGGGGTCTGGGGGCCTGAAGTGGCGGTGCCCGGAGGACATCTGGGGGGCTCGGGGCAGTGTCATCCTTCTAGATCACCGCTGCTCACCCGAATGGAAATATTTCAACGTCTTATCAAATTTGAGCTGTCAGCCTTGTTCGGTCCCTTCTTTAGGTGAGGGGACTGAGGCCCAGAGGTGGACGAAGCTCGTCCAAGGTCACCCACTGATCCCTGGTTGATCTAAAACCCTTATGCCTGGGCTGAGGGCTGTGGAGTGCCAGGCTTGGGGAGGGGGGCACGAATCACCTGTAGTCAAAGTCCCCGTCCTTGCCGTCCAGAAAGTGCTGGTGCATCCGGCTGGTGAACTCTTCCCGCAGGATCAGCCTCTCTTCCGAGTCAGGGACCCAGGCCTCTGAGTCTTTGCCAGGGCTCTGGTCTGTGGGGGCAGACACCCTCAGTGGAGGGATGGGACGGGTGCCCTTGGGTACGTGCTGAACACACACCCACAAAGAGCTGCTTCCTCTGTGCTGGTGGCACCGGGAACGCGGTGGTGACCAAGACAGCCCTGGTCCTGCCCTCCTGGGGCACACACTGAACACAGGAGGACAATATAGCACTCTGGAGACTGTAGAGCTGGGTCAGGACCTGCTACCTGAAGGGTGGGGAAGGGAAGGCATTCTTGGCAGAGGGAACAGCATGAGTAATGGCCTGGAGGTGAGTGATGACTCCTTGGTGCCTTTGAGGAGCAGGGGGGTGGGGGGGGGGCGATGCTGGAGAGGCTGGGAGAGCCTGGGCACTCAGGGCAAGCAGGGGAGGGAGTCTGACCTTGCAGGTCGGGGGGCCCCAGCCTCGGGCCTCCCCGGTACTGGCCCTCACCTTCCTCATCGCTGTCCTCTTCCTCCTCTTCCTCCTCCAGGCAGGCCTCCTCCTCCTCCTGCTGTCGGAGCAGCCGTTGCTGCAGCTCCCGCTCCTGGCAGGACTGGAGCAGCAGGTCAGAGAGCGGGCAGGCGGTGCCGGGGGCGCCGGGCTCAGGAGGCCGGTGGGCTGGGGCGCGGGCGCTGAGCTCCTCCTGGGTTAGGTACTGCCCAATGTACTGCTCGTACAGCAGCGGGGCCCGGAACCGCATCTGCTCGTCACTGAAGTACTCGCCACCTGCACGGAGACGGGGGGGGGGGGGGGGGGGGGG